AAAACAATCCAAAAGGATCCCTGTGATTCCAAGGGTTACACACACACACACTGATAAGTCTATGACCATTTCCAGCCATTTCCCTATGGTTGTCCATATTCTGCAGGCATGTTTGAACTGGGGATACTTTCGGAGTGGCATGGGACGGACGGCGCATGTCGGTGGCGGAGGTTGGTCAAAACGTGTGACATTGTACCTGACTTTTGTCCTCTTGTTTCTACTAGCTTCTTTGTTACTACTAGTAAGGCACCTGTTACTACTAGCTTCTTTGTTACTACTAGTAAGGCACCTGTTACTAGTAGCTTCTTTGTTACTACTAGTAAGGCACCTGTTACTACTAGCGTGGCACCTGTTACTACTTGAGATATAACTCCCATGGCCGAATTCGGACTCGGAAGACCAGCCATCCAAACACGCCGAGCACAGGTGTTCGACAAAGATTCCTAGCAATACAATGGATTGCTTCGCTTTTTGATGTTAATTTTATAGTGGCCATGCGGGCTATGCCTTCAAACCTGTTGCACGGCGCAATCCCTCAGGAGTCCGATGTGCACGGAACTCAGCAGTTCGAAGAAAGAAGTGCGGAACTCCGCCCCAAACAGACGCCCACACAAAGTGCAGATTTTGTGTTGTGACATTCCCCCCAAAAGTGTACTCGGATCCTTTTTTCTAGCTTTCAAGGATTTCGCTCTTTGTGTCGGTATATCCACTGGTAAACTCTATTCCACAGCCTGGGATTCACCAATCCTTTGCAACGGTTCTTGCTTTGCGGGATGAACTTCTTCATCCACGACCACAGCCGATCCAGCTGCTGGGTGCCAAAGATCATTTTCTTCTTCAACAAACCGTTACCTACTAACGAACGAACGAACGAACGTCACTGCCCCCTCCTCCCCACCCCCCGCACATGTGAGTGAACGTAAACATGTTGGTGAACAACCATGAAAACACAGTCAACAAAACAAACTAAACACAAAAAACAAACAATCAATGGCACTGCGAAGTTTCTTCATTCCTCGAATTGAGGGACTACTCGCAATGAGCTAAGTAGCAATAGCCTTTATGCTCTGTAATTGCTGGATATTTTCTAGCAACAAGACCACCACACGGGAAGGGTACTGTGGAATCCCATCCAACCCGCTCATTGAAAAAGCAATCTGAGACCTTGCGAACCATCATTTGTCATTTGGAATACTGCCATACCCAGCAAAGGCTTTCCAGACTCCAGACGAGTAGCAGAACCTGCATCCGTGGCACCCATGGCACTGCAATTCAGTTTCAGTGTCCAACATAATGTGGACATAGAATCCTGCTGACCTATTTTCCGTTTGGCATAGAATCTGCTACAATATATAAGTAAATGCAACCAGAATCTTGGACTTGCTCTCCGTGTGGGGCATTTTGCAGCTCCATGACTCCATGACATACCATTGCATCAAAGATCTCGACATGACAACAAAACACAACACGGCACATCCCGGGATAAAGTCCCTGACCCCAATGGTTCCTCTTCAATAGTGCCAGAGTCATACATTCTTTTCAAGATCGACGTTTGCCCTGGAAGGTTGTACATGGTGTGTTGCTACCGTATGTTTGCCCGACTTGTCGTAAGCTGCTGTTGCTTTGCTTTTTGTATTCGGTGATTCGCCTTTGTTTGCGACCTCTTGGATTCCACTCAGGGGGATGTATAAGATTGTTGGAGTTTTTTTTCTTTTTCTGGCAGTGATTCATTGTGGAACCTTTATATTTAGTTGGATCCCTGCTTAGGTTGAGTAAACTCCAAACATCCTATGGCTGCAGTGTACACATCTACTGCACCTGTACCTGTAAAAGGGAATGCAAGCACAGTTTCCTTGAGATTTTGGCCCACTGCGAAGAGAGCTTTCATGGATAGACCGTCTGTCACGCTTGACCTGGCAGACCTTTCCATCTTCATTGTAGCAGTCAGCGAGACCTCATCGCGTAACAAGTACTTTTGGTAAGGGTTCCTTTGAACCATCATCATGGACTGGAATCCAGCGAGTAAATCCATCCAAGTTCCAAATACATCCTAAGTACCTGGGAATTCTTGCTGGCCCTTTCAAGAGCTGTTCCGGGTCAGGTCAGCGCAGCAGTCGCCACCGCAAGAGAAGGCCGGGGATTTCCAATTTGGCCAAGTAGGAGAAGGTGTTCACATCGCGGGACCTCCACAGATAAGAAGAGGGACATCCTCTTGCAGAAGGCAACAGATGACACATCCTGTATAGGTTTTGCGACTCGGACCTGTAAAGAAGCATGCAGTTTTGGAAGGGCATGGATGCAATGGCTCGGACCTGTACACTTTGATTCAACCGGAGCCAGGCCCGCCCTTGTCATGAGTTCTAGATTCGTGTCCCAGTTCCAGCATGGGAGTTGTTTTGCAAAGAACAGCCTGCTAAATTGCATGATGCAGGGGCAAGTTTCGAGTGTTCACGTGCAATAAACTTGTCCTGAGGCCTCTCAAGCGCAGTACTCGAGTTGGTAGGAGATGGCGGGAACCTCCATCTCATGGGTAGAAAGAGACAACCCTGATTGACATGATGTGCAAGTCTGTGCAAAGGTGTGTTCCCTCACCCAGGAAGCTTCGTTAAGCTTTACTCACTCCTCCGACGAGTGTCATACATCATGGCATTGTATACGTGGGAACAGAGCTACAACAGGGCGGGCAGTGCCCAATCACTCAGTATAGATTTCTAGATGATAATCACGTGGTGGGCGGTGGGTGGGTCAAAATATTCGCACAACGTCCATCTCCAGTTGTTTGTACCTTGCGGGTCACCCGTGCAAGGCAACCTCACCTCCCATGGTGAAGGCTGGGAACAGGTCTAGGTGGATGGGAGCGGAAGTTGAAGTACCGTCTAGCAGCGATGCCGTCGTTCCTAGTCGTTCCTAGTAGCGTTCTTGTTACTAGTAGTAAGGCAGCCACTGGGCCCAAAGCTCGAAGGCTTAGGAGTCCGGCCCCCAGCGGCTGCTAGCCGCACTGCTCGGTGCGGGGGCAGTGTCCACTAGCTGCCCCCCAAAGGGCAGCAGGCCGCTTTTTGTGTTGGTAGTTCTTGGTGATCTTTGGTGCTGCGAGCCATGGACGAGCTGGAAGACCTCATGTCTGACCTCCAGAAGCATGTGAAGCCTTTGGTCCGCAGCTTGTTCTCTGGCTTGCAGGAGGGAGCCCACCCGATGGTGGGATCCCGCACTGTCATCGCAGGTGGAGTGATCTCGTACGGAGATGACTGGGTTGACCTCATGGCCATGTGGTTTGTTCCAGGTTCTGGCTTCATGCCCCCGAAGAATGAGACGACCACCAGGGTCCGGATTCACGACATCCTCCGCAGGAACCTCCATCTGTGCCCGGGTGCCCAAATTGTTTGCATTGGAGATAAAGAGCTTGGTTCACATTGAGCATGAGTTTTTCCTGCGCGATGCGAAGATCTGCTTCCGACCAGATCTTGATCCGGCTCTCCCATGGGATTGCCTTCACAACTTTTGTGGGGGTTTCAGCGGCTGGAGTCAAGCTCTTCGATGGATGGACCACACTCAAGAAATCTGCTTAGGCCAGGAGGTCTTTGTGGATTGGGATCTTCAGATCATGAAGATTTGGAGCATTAAGCATTGCCTGCCACATCGCCTCCTCCCACTTCCAAGCAGGGAGGCTTGGTGTCCGGCAAAGAATGTCGGCCTTCGTGGCTGTGTCAGCGATCCCTCCATCATCGAGGCGTGCCGATCTCAAGCAAACCTGCTCACCACTATCTCTCCGCCCTGCCAGAGCTGGAGTAAGGGAGGACGTGGACTGGGTTTGAACGACACCAATGGTCAAGCATTCTTGGATGCGCTGGTGCAGGCCTTCTCGCTGCAAGTCATTGCCATCGTGGCAGAATGTGCAGATGACACTGCGGTTCACCCGCATTTTAGGCTAGTTAAAGCCCTTGCAAAAGCCATGGGTTTCCGGCTTGTATGGGACCAGATCACTCCGTATCATCAAATGACCTCCCATGCTCGCTCTCGATGGCTCGGAGTGTGGGTTCGAGCCGATGCTGCACTGCAGCTGTTTCCTTTCCAGCTCAAACTGCCAGTCATTCCGCAAAGGCATTGGACCGATCAAGCCTGCCAGTTTCCCATCCCTCAGAGATGGGCCTCACAGCTTCGGCTGTCTGATTCGGAATGTCGAATATATGATTCACCAGTGTTTTTGCCACCCGCAAAACGGCCAAGGTATGAGAACCGGGAGGTGAAGACCAATGAGATCATCAGGTCACGAGTGCCGAGTAGTGCCGACATCCTCCCTACTCTGTGTGCCGCCTACACACGCCAACACCAGTTGGCAGAGCATCACCTCAAACAGAAAGGCATATTTGCATGCCTACGTGAGTCAGCAATTGGGTTTCATTTTCTCGAACCTACTTTGTTCTGCAGTCTGTTTGGAGCGTGTGAACATGTTGTCCTTTCGGAAAAGATTGGAGAGTCTTTCCATGTGGTCGGCAACGCCATTTCGGTACCCCATAGCCTCTTGGCTTTGTCAATTGCCCTCCACTGTACGTGTTCAGGCAAGATTGACCCAGTTGGAATTGTTCGCAAAGCTTGGAGTGAGAGGCTCACCGCATACAATGCTTTCGTCTTTCACCATGAAGGCTTCGTACATCTAGTGCCAAAGCGTGATCTCTGGAAATGGATCTCCCCTCGGCCCCAGCTGCCTGAGGCATGCAATTGGACTCTGACAGGAACTTGCGCAGACCATAGTGTTGCAATTGATGTGCACTCCCACCACACGGTGTCGCAAGCGTTTCTGGCCAACTTTTCAGGACCTCAAGATCTGGTCTCACAATTTCATGCCAGAAATGAAGACATTCGAGTTTCGAATCAGACCACCATTGAGCACATTGCACGCCAAGAGTGCACCTTTCGACTTGCCATTGGGAATGCCCATATCGGAGATATCGAGATTCGCCCTGTGCCTTCCACTAAGGTCATCGATGATTTCCCAAGGGATGCTTTGCCTCTCGAGCTCCAGATTGTGACCAAGCACTTTGAGGACCATGTTTGTTCGGCTCTTTTCTGGGCTATTCAGCAGGTCGTCGAAACACTGCAAGACGACATTCAGCCCAAACCATGTGCTGCATCAGTCGTTATTTTGCCGGAGCAATTGACGATCACAACTCTTTTATCTGAGGCAAGTGGAATGCAGTTTCTGCAGAGAATTTCAGCATTGCCGGTTTTCAGCAACCGAAACAAGAGACTTTGTCATGTTCCAGGGGAACCCGATTCCTTCCTGCTCATCTCTGCTGCACGAGATTGCGAAGAACCAGTTAATGTTGAAGTCATTGTGCGATCAGACCAAGGTTGGACCAGTGGAGCATGCGTGCCTCCAGAGTCTTCCTCTATCCAACTCCGCAGTGCTGCCCAAGCTCGACATGAAGTTGCCAAAATCAATGGTGCGCCCCCGGGCGAGTTGCAGCGTGCCTTCAAGTATGGTGATATTCTCGACATTTGTGCGATCTGTCCTGTTCACGCAGGTGGACACCATCTTAATGTTGCTGCTCCACCAAAGCTACCGGCTTTTGCAGACTTCACAGCCAGAGTTGAATTCATGTGTGACACGCATGGCTGGCTCGCCACCGACGAGATGTTCCACTATTCACAGGCCCTTCAGTGGCAGCAGGACTGGCTTCGTTTTGGCACACCGCAGTTGTGGAATGTTGCAAATGGTGATTTTGAACCACCTATTTTCGGTGAACTCCACATCCCGAACAATGCCACGACTGCGATTCCAGTACTCATTGGAAGCCACTGGGCTGGGATTGAAGTTACAAGACAGGGTATTGACACCTCAGTCGTCTTCATCCATGTGCATGAGCAACATCAGACTCAGCTCACCTTCCTGGTTGCACGGTTGCTTGACATTGCACCGCATCGATTTCAAGTTCGCTGTGAGCACAATGATCCGCCCCCACACCTGTGTGGCTGGCTTCTCATCTTTCGCTGGTATCGGCGACATGGCATCCATCAAGGCATTGCTGATCTGTCGAACCATATCCAGTTGAACCCCGAGTACAATCAGTTGATCCAGCTTGCTATGCAGTGTTCAAATGAGGACTGGGCTTTGGCTCAGATCCCTATTGAGATTGGGCAGCTTGCTCACACGCTCAGGAAGAATTTTCTTTGCTTTCTTGCTCGAAGAGAATTCCAAGGCCGACCCCATCAACAAATCGCTCTTGACACTGCTTGTCCTCCTATGCAGCCGCAGCCGTATATCCAACAAGAGCAACAGCATGTTCCTGTGGCGCCTCTGCCTGGGTTGGACCGGACACAAGCTATCCTTGACAGGATTCGGGACAGGCTTCATTTGATCCTTCAGTATCCAGCCTGGCTTTCGTCTGATGAGCTTGACATCGCTCTTGAAGGACCCAGAGCTACGAATCCAGGGACCCTATTCTGTCCGCCTTCATCTTGGAGCGTCGGTGCCTCGCACTTGCACTTCTTCAATGACTACATGCCAGACTACAGAGCCTTCAATCAAGTGATTTGGATTATTGAAGTTGACAGACATTGGGTACAGGCAGAGGCATACTTGCATGAGGATGCTTCTAACTTCGCCTTCACCTTCCCGGCCGACAGTCACATCAGACTTCAACCACTTGTCGACCACCTCCTCAATGTGACTGGTGCCAGGGATACACAGATTTCTATCCACTTCTATGACCAAGTCAGTCCGCAAGGCATGTGTGACTACCAGCTCGTCGCGAACATTTACCAGCGGTTGGCAGCAAACACGATTGCCCTTCAGCCACCACAGAGACGCCTTCTTAGCTTTCACCACCTTGCTGCTGACCTTGATCGAGCTCACGTTGAAGCACGTGCACAATGGACCGCTGCAGGAGCCAGTCCGCATTTCATTGACTTTGCGGCCAACCTTCGTCAGTGGTTTCTGGTCCGTATTGCAGAAAACAGATTCCCCAGTGATGTCATCTCAGCGGGAGCAAATGATCAGGATGTTGCCATGAAGCCAGCAGAGGCACCGGATCCTGGTGCAGCAAGCCGTCCTGCGGTCGCCGCACCTGCGCCTGCCAAGGACCCGTGGCTCAAGGCAGATCCTTGGCTCAAAGCCACTCCGCGTCCAGCACAAAGTAAGTGGGAAGACCTTGTCATCAAAGAGCCAGTCCCGTTCACGGGAACCGATGGAGCTGTGTTGACACAAACACATAGATTGCAGGTTGGTGGAGCTCGGGGCGGCCTTGTCTTTGCTACCAAAGCTCATGTCCAGGACATTGCAAAGGCAGCGGGGTCTAGTGAACTTGCAATCCTTTTGCCGGCAAGTGACAACCTTGCGTTGCCGATCTTTCAGAACAAATTGCAAGGCCCTTTTGAGGTGTCTGTCGACGATACATCAGCCAAGATTGCCTACAAGAGACTTGTGATGCTTTTCCCAGTTCGAGGAACGATCAACTACAAGTTGCCAGAACCAGTCGCCAAACTCACTACTGGCGCAGTCTGCGAAATCGTTCTTGAAGTTGATGGGAGACTCGTCGCCAAGGGAGACTTTGAACGGATCAGGGAAAACCCTATTGCCTCATTCAAAGCATTGTTGGGACAAGTCGTTCCAAAGCTCGACAATTCGGCTGTCATCTTTGGCTACAGAGTTGCGCATCACCCGGGAGGGGCCAAACAAGATCCATTGCTGCAATGTGTTCTCAAAGCGCCTCATGGAATCCGCACTCCACTCATTGAAGCCAGCGGAATGACGCCACTCCTTACCCGGGACTTCCTCGACAAAGGTCGCAACAGCGAGGACACTACTGTTCTCCCGCGATTCTGGCCGCCCAATATCAGTGAACTCTCAAATATTCGCAAGACTGTCGAAGGCACTGAAGGGCTCGCTGGTTTGGTTCTGACCAGGCGCGGCCTTGCGCCGCGAGTCTGGATTGCTCAGGTTGGCAAAGCCAGATCACAACTGCTTGCCGATGATCCGAGGGTGATGCCAGAGAATATCAATGTGGTGCCGAAGTACACATTTTCACTCGCAGGCTGGCCCGCTGCAACGGGGGCACAACATGTCGTCTCTTCGACACTTCAAGCATTGAAGCTTCCTGTACTGCCCCTTCGGACGTATCGTGCCGCTGGAGTGCATGTATGGATCGTCACAACCGACAAGAAACCAACGGTCACCTCTTTTCCGCTGCAAATCAACGCAGATGTGGTCGAGATACTCATCCAAGAAGTTGAACATGGACCTCCTCGCAATGGCAAAGCCAGCGGAAAAGGAAGCCAGAAAGGCAAGGGCAAATCTACACCGAGCGAACCTTCAAAGCCCTGGACTACACCATCAGTGCCCTCTGCACTGCCTGCAAGCCCTGATGAGGCTCGCATCCAACGGCTAGAAGAGAGGTTTGAAAAGATTGAGACCCGCCAGGCGAACTTTGAATCCAAAGTTGATGGCAAATTCGATTCAATCCAAGATGCCCTTCGGCAAATTCTGGCCAACACCAATCGCAGGGCCCGCGAGCCCACGGGCGAAACTCCGCCCTCCAAGCATTCGAAACAATGTTGAGGACTTAGGGTGAGGTCCTGGCCTTTTTGGACTTCTTTGTTCGCGCTTGCCTTCTGTTTTCTTGTGTGCCCTATGCCCATTGGATTTGACCGGGCCCTCACCGTGTCCTTGGATTTCCTTGCAATGACATCTCCCTGTCTTTGCTTTTGGGGTTCTCGCAATTGCTTCAATTGCCTCAGTTGCCATGGTCAAAGGGGGACGACATGGACCTCCATTCAGACCGCCATGAAGTTAATGGATTTTCGAACCAGCTTCGCTTCCTCCTTCAGTGTCCCTTCTCTGTGGACTTTGTCGTGCGTTGTCGATTCTCTCACTGTTCTCGGTCATAGAAGGAGTGATCTGGTCTCTCAATTCAATTGTCACCAACACTCAGCTGGTTGGACCTTCCAACCACGAAGTTTTGCTGCGCAAAATTGCTGCCGCTTATGCTGTGTGCGACATTCTACCGGATGTTGGCTTATGCCATTTGTGTGGGACATGCATGGCTTTCATTTTCCTTTGACGCCACCTCAGGTTTCCCGGGCGAGGGACCCCAAGAACAGTTGATGACACTGGTGTCCGCCAATATAGGGTCTGTGATGACTGATCATTCTTGGAAAACTTGGGACGCTGATGTGGTGTGCCTACAAGAAACACGTGTGGGTAAAAACAATCAGAGGTCCGCTGCCAAGATCTTTCAGAATGTCGGCTTCACGCCATGTTTTGGTGAACTGTTACCGGGCCTTTGGTACAACAGCAAAACTACAAAAACTCCATGTGGGGGTACCTTGATTGCAGGTGGTGCTGCTCTCATCCAACCATTCGACCCATCCCATGATAGTACCACTTTGTTTGCTGCGCTCATGAAGACGAAAAGATTTGTTGCTTCTTGGGTTCAAGTCACACCGAAAAAGAGGGCGCTTGCCATCTCCGTGTATGCTACTACCAGTGCGTCCCAGGACTCGAACGTCCATGAGAGTAACAATAGGTTTTTCGAAGACATCTTTTTGTTTGTTGCACAGTTTGGGAGAATCCCTGTGATTTTTGCTGGGGACTTCCAGGCACCTCCTATGAGCTATCCCGCTATCGCGAATGTACTTTCGTTTCAGTCTTGGCATGACCCCATTGCGACGGTTGGGGATGATGGTGATCTTCTCCGCCCACTCACGTTCAGCAACGATAGGACGTTTGCTGGTGCCGGTGAGGGCTGTACTTCCATCGACTCTGTCCTTGTTAATGATGTTGCTTTTTCGGCACTTCGTAGTGCTGAAGTTTTGCAAACCTTTGACAAACAACACCGCCCAATTAAGCTTGTTTTTGATTGGCCCTCAATCAACCAAGTTGGTTTCCATGTTCTGAAGGCTGCCCCTTTTAATCTCGACGCCTGCCAAGAAACAGGATCCCTTTCCTGGGAAGCTAACGGCCAACGTGCTTTTGAAGCCGCTGTGGAAGTTGAAAATAAGTGGGAAATTGTGAACTCCTTCCTGCAACGCACGTTGATCGCCAGAGGTGCTGTGTGGGGAGAGGGAAAGCATTCCAGAGGTGAAGCTCCTGTGTTTGTTGCCAAGACTATTGCCCCCAAGCAACTCTCCAATCATTGTGCTGCAAATCGCCAAGGTAACCTGTTTGCTAAAGTCTTGGGTCGTCTCAATGAATTGTTCACTCGCCTTTCTCGTCCTTCGGGATCGGCTCAAGACCAATTTATTACTCAAAGAACTGCAAATAGAACCCGGAAACTCCTTGAAGAGCTCGAAGCACCGGTGGGCTGGCCCTACAGTGTCCTCCCGACACTTGTTGAAGTGCATTTTGCCATCAAGTGGGCTCATGCCTCCTTTCACACTTTCGACTTACAGCTTCGCAACAAGAGAATCAAGAACTGGCAGCGTAGAATTCGACTGTCGGCTACACACGGTTGTGCTTACATCTTTCACCACCTCAAGAGCAAACAACTTGATGAGCCAAACAATTTAGTTGTTGATGACTCTCAAAACATTGTGTACCAACCCGGCGACGCCCTTCATTTTCTGAACTCGCAATGGGACCAGGTGTTCAGCGCAAACGTCCTCCACAATCATTCCCTCAAAATGCTGGAGACTGTTTGGCCGTATATCCAGGATAAACAAGTTGAGGCTCAGGTCCCACCGATCACCGGCCATGATTTGCATCGCATTATCCAGAAGCGGAAAACACGTGCGGCTCCTGGTCTTGATGGCTGGCGTACCGCAGAACTTCAGTGCTTGACACCTGCAGAGCTCCAACCATGCGTCGAATTTATGCAGCTCGTTGAAGAGTCCACTTTGCCATTGCCCAAGTCCCTTGTATGTGCAAAACAAGTGATTTTGAATAAGCCTGGACCTTCTACTGCTCTCAATAAGAGGCTTATTACTATCCTCCCCGCAATCCTTCTAGCGTACACTGGTGCCAGATTTGCACAGCTCCAAACTTGGCAACAAGCCACTATGCCCAAATCGATTCTAGGAGGTATTCAAGGTCGTTTCATGTCAGACTTGTTCAACCAAATTCGCCTCGATATTGACGACGCAAAGGCACAAGGACACTCCCTCATTGGCCTTAAATTAGACAAGGCCAAGGCCTTTGACAGAGTGATTCCATCATACGTTGCTGCACTTTTTCTTGCTTTTGGTGTACCCAGTGGGATCACCAATTTCTTTGTCAAGATTTATGATGGCCTTCATCGACATCTCTCATACAGAAATTGGTGTTCGCCTGAGGCTACCACTGCCCCTAACGGAGTGTGCCAGGGATGTTCTTTGTCTCTTCTTGCTATCAATGTCTACAACAAAGTCTGGTGCCACCTGTTAGACTACTTACCAGACATTTACGCCCGAGCATACATTGACGACTCCTACTTGTGGTGCAAGTTGCAGAACTCGGCAATTCTTGTTCAGGCTGTTCAAGCGACCAAGATTTGGGATCTTCTTAGTGGTCAAAAGCTTAATGAAAGTAAATCATCGGCTTGGGGAACCTCCTCAGAGGCAAGAAAGACCCTTAGGTCCAGCCTACCAACAGTCCCAGTTGTCCTGGAACTTGACGTGCTAGGAACGGTCCTTTACACCTCCGAGCGATCGCATTTCTGCTTTTCTGAGGCTAAGCTCAAAAAGATACTCCATGACACGGAGAACATCGCAGCTTTGCCGGTTGGCAGAACCACCCGAAGCTTTTTGATTGGAGCCAAAATCATTCCGCAAATGTCCTTTGGTTCCCACATCACTAAGATTCCAGGTGTGGTCCTTATGAAAGTCCAAAACGCAATTGCTAAGGCCCTGTGGGTCGGTCAACCCATGTGGAGGTCCAAGCAGTTGCTTCAAGTCATTCTTGCTAACCCACATCGCACTGACCCCAAACTAGCTGGAGCATACCTAACAGTGCTGGAAATTGTCAGACTGTGCTATGGCAATCCAGATGCTATTGCGCAGCTTCAGAGAACATGGGCTAGCCCATGTGGGAATCATAGCTTGGCCGGGAAACTTCGGACTGCTTTGCAGGTGTGAAACATTGAGTTTGACGATCATGAAAACATTTCATTCTTGAAAGCAGTTCCTGTTTTTCTCTTTGATTTGTCACCCAAATGCATCGCCAAACCCCTGCAGAACATTGTTAGGCAGGCTTGCTACTGCTCTATCGACCCCAAGTCGAGAAAAGACTTTCAAAAACCTAGTGGCATTTTCGACTTTCAACAAACTACCCGTTTCCTTTTCAGGAAGAGCCCCAATTTCTCTCTGGACAGAGAACAACGCTTTCGACTTGAAAATGTGCTAATCGGGTGTGTCCTCGCCAACGATCGTCTCGCTGCCTCAGGTTATGTCAATACAGCAGCATGCCGCTTTTGCGACCAAGAAAAAGAATGCCTCGGGCACCTGTTGGTTTGCCCCAGAGTTCATGAACATCTAGGTGCACCGATTCTTCACGATTTTGGGAGCAACTTTGCAACTCTTGGTCATTTTCAGCATCCTAGGTACGTTGCCAAGAGGCGCCTGCAGTGTTCCGACCTTGAAACCATTCCCATTGCATCGGCCTTTTCTTTGGAGCATTCAGAAAGAGTATGGACGGATGGCTCCGTTCTTTTTGCGAATAACTTCTGGATCACACATGCAACATATGCGGTTTTGGATGAAGCCAGACAAATTCGCTACAGAGGAGTTGTTCAACACTGGAATCTTTCGTCGTACGCGGCGGAATTATGGGCTGTCCTGGTTGCGCGTGCAACAGCGATGTTTCCCACGACCATCTTCTGCGACTGTAAGAGTGTGGTTGAGCAAACCCAGTTCATCTTTTCAGGTCAGCAGCCATCCCCGGGATGGTCGCACTACAATTGGTGGATGTTTCTCTTCCGCATTGTCACATGCAGACGCAGACTTTGTGGGTCTCCTTTCCATATTGTCTGGATTCCTGCGCACTGTTTCGAGAACATACCAATTGACCTCATCTCGGAGGAGCTTGCTGCGCTCAAAGGTACTACAAAAGAACATGTTTGGCATAACAGATTAGTTGATGCCGCGGCAAAGGAGTTCGCCCACCGCACGGCGTGCGTCTTCCCAGATGTTCAGAAACTCGTTCATCAGGCCATTGCACACCACCAAAAGTGGCTTGTTGACTTACATGCACTGCTTCCGCCAGATCAGCCAGACCGGAACACAGTTGAACGTCATGAAAACCTGAAACAGCAGCCGACTGTCTCTACTTGTCGTGCTCGTTTCCCGTCATGGCAGTGGGGTACATCTCTGTCCAAATACACATGGAAACCGAAGGTGCCTCGTGACCTTCCTTGTCCCAAGAAGTGGACAGGTCACCAGCAGGACTGGACCACTTGCCTTGTATTTTTGAGCACCCTCCGCTGGTATGTGGATGACAACGAGTCCTTCTCTTTTAATGAATTGGCCGTGATTTTCCACTGTGGGGGTTTTACTTTGCACAAAGATCCTGACCTTGTCACTTATCTCGACATCTACAAGGTGATTCGCGAGGCAATGCAGATATTGTCCAAAGATGAGTCAGCAGATCCGTATCCTGGCTTTTTCCACACGACCAGGCCCAGATCCTGTGGTCGTGTTTTGCCACAAGGCTGTATAGTGGGAGCAATTCCCTACATGTCTGACCAAGTTCGTGTGCGCATAGCATCACTGTTCCAGCGTGGCGCAGGGAGAACCTTGCAATCCTGGAACATTTCATGTATAGATAGCTGAGTGTTTGCATGTCCCTGGGGTTCTTTCGAGTTTGTGCATAGACCTGTGTGTCTGGCACAATGCGGACACCGTTTCACGGAGACCGTCCGCAGAGAGTGATAGTTACTAGTAGTAAGGCCAGGAGCCCCTAGTAGCGTCTTTGCTCCTAGTAGTGATGCCCTTTGCTCCTAGTAGCTTCTTGGGAGCGGCCAGGAAAGGATCCGTGAAGTCTTAGGCCCCATGAGATATGACACATGCAGAGCGCGCAGGCACAAGCCCCAGATCCACCAAACATGCCGCTTGGCCGGGCAGAGCGGTCGCTGTTGAGGACCATTGCTCTAGATATTTTCTGAACAAAGGGCATTTCAGGTTTATTTTAGGTAAAGGCCAAGAAGAATCCCACCAAACTAGCCTCAGACTTTGAAGAATGGCTGCGAGCTAGCTGAAGGCAGCTTTTTTGCTTGGAAGTGCAGGGGCATTGCACACATGGGAGCTTGTGACCCACCGGCAAAATGTCTCAGGCAGGCGAAGCGTGGACTTTTGCACTCACTTTCTTGAGCAAAAGGCAGTCTTGTAAACAAGGCTGAAGAATGGAATGGAACCCATTTTTATTTGCTAGAACCTGGCCTTGTCAAGCCTTGTTGCTGTCTTCCAAAAATGAACTAATTGCTATGTCAGCCACAGTATCCAGGGGTACAG